TTTTTGGCTGTATCCAAAGACCAGACAACGTAAAAATGGCTACTTGAGTAGCATGCATTTTTCATTAATTTTCAATGCTCTTAGACATTCTTTTATATTTCATGGAAAACGCGCATAATAATATTAACCTTTTGCTCATTCAGTAGAAAATTACGTCTTCTTTTAATTTTACACTCAAAGGAAAGGCGTAATTCGGTTTTTAAAAAAGTTTCTTATTGTGAGATTTATTAATACCGTGAAATGGCCCTTCATTAAACGTTACGTCTCTGCATTTACCAGTGCGACTTATAAATTTAACAATGTGGCTCATATTCCCAGCTTAATTTTATGAACCCTATATAGTCCCCCTTTATTACTGTGGAGAAATATATGGTTTTCCCTACGCGGAAATTATGCGGCTTGTAGTTTTGGGAACTCTGAATGCAAATGTAACGGCAGGTGGGGTCCAAAATTATTCGGGAATTGGAAAACTTTTATAAAACCAAATAATACTCTTCCTTCGAGTGTCAAATTAAAAGAAGACGTAATTTCCTACTGAATGAGCAAAAGAAGGAATAGTTTTGTGCATGTTTTCCATGAAATATAATTGAATCTTTAAGGGCATCGAAAATCAATTTAAACATGCATGCTACTTAAGTAGTAATTTTTTACGGAGTATAGTTCTTGTATGCAGCCAAAAAGAAGTTTGTTCGAGAGCCGGTGCCCTGGGGTAACTGAATTATTATAGAATTATACTGCACTATCATTGGTTTTGCAAGCCTGCTTAATTAATCTTTTCGAAGCGAAAACTCATTTCGGAATTTCTGTTGAGATTTCATGTATGTACTGTTTTCAGTACCATCATCCTACAACTTGTGCATTTCCAACCATACAGGGCAAGATCCTGGTTCGTAGCCGCACCTGTTAGGGGTTCGTGTCAGGGATTAGGGGTTGGAGGTTAAGGATTAGGGGTTAGGGTTAGGAGTTAGGGGTTACGGTTAGGCGTTAGGAGTAAGTTTTAACCCCCTATTACCACCGGGCCCGTATGAAATGTGGCTGGAGCTTGTCTACCTCTCTTCCGACCTCATACAGTTAAGAGGTACGACCGGCCGATGACTCGGACACCACCTTTTGTCGATCGAATTTACATCTAGGAGTGTCGGCGGAGACAAGGGAGACAGCGATGCCTATTGGTGGCTTATTAGCTGACGTCAGCCGGCCGCCTCTAAACCGGGTTGGGATAACCTGAGGTTGACACCCGGATTCTTTGTGTATTGAATGTTAAACTCAGTGTTTTACCACTGAACTACGGGCCCGTTGTCTGGCCGGTTGCGGTCGATAATACTCGCTATCGTGGGAAGAGGAGGCTTCGTCGGTCAGGTTGCGGTATATGCCCGTCCCGCTGGGCCTAGGGGCTCGAACTAGGGTCCTAGAGGCCTTCGCAATGATAGGAAAATGCCAATTAGGGTAATCTTGCAGCGAATCTGACGTGGCGCAGTCAGTAGATCCACAGTCCGTCGGACCGCCATAGCGCGTACTTCAGCCCCAGCCTTAGTCAGTGGTCTTTATGCAGCGCCCTTGCCGCTGAGCCAGGGGCTCCTTGTCCTGGTGGTTGCGATTCTGCCTATATTATTGGTTGCTGTTCGGCTGCTGGCGGAGCACAACGAGACGACTATACCCCGTAACGCGATCGGTGAGCGCCTCTCTATCATCGTTAGTATACTCGATCGCAACCGACAGGACAACGAACGCGCGACTTAGTGGTCAGGACGTTGGACTTCTAACCAACAGGTCGCGGGATTAAGCCGCTGGTGGTACAAAACCTGGTGACTGATGACGGTTGATGAGACCTTAATGACCGCTCAAGTCTCACTTGTCTTTGTTGGTAACGTTACGCGCTGGAATGCTGCTGCCGACAGGGTTCGGGAGAGTAAGAGAGATCTCCAAGGCACAACGCGATCGGTGAGCGCCCCTCCACCATTGTACATACCCAATCGCAACTAACAGGTCAACGAGCCCCTGGCTCAGTGGTTAGGAGCGTTCGGCTTCCAACCACCATGCCTATTTTGGCCTGTGTTTTGGCTGCGCGAATAATCGATATCCTGTTATCTCTGACTTGCAAGGTGTGTCCACCGTGCTCGTGGACTTCTTTTCAGCCGAGATCGCAGTACAAGCCTGGGAAACGCAAAGGACTGATAGTCGCAGCTTAGATACTTAGAACGGTGCGTAGATGGCTTGGTTGGAGTTTGGTACCCCTATAGTCCGTTACAATTATGTACTGTCTTCAGTACCATCATCCTATAACTTGTGAATTTCCAACCATAGAGGGCAAGATCCTATTTCGTAGCCGCACCTATTAGGAGTTAGGGGTAGGGGTTAGTGTCAGAGATTAGGGTTAGGGGTTGGGGGGTTAGGGGTTAGTGTTAAACTCCCTATTACCACCGGTCCCGTATGGCAGGCGGCTGGGGCTTGTCTGCCGCATGTGCGGCTACGAAATAAGATCCGACCCCATACAGTTAGGAGGTACGATCGGCCGATGACTTGGACACCTGTGCAGTCACTTATTATCGATCGGATTTACATCCAGAAGTGTCGGCAGAGACAAGGGAGACAGCGATGCCTATTGGCGGCTTATGAGTCGACGTCAGCCGGTCGCCTCTAAACCGGGTTGGGATAACCTGGGGTTGACACCTGGATTCTTTGTGTATTGAACGTTTTACCATTGAGCTACGGGTTCATTGTCTGGCCGGTTGCGATCGATAATACCCGCTATCGTGGAGGCTTTCGTCGGTCAGGTTGCGGTACATGCCCGTCCCGCTGGGTCTAGGGGCTCGAAATAGGGTCGTAGCAGGCCTTCGCATAGCGACCAGCAAAGAAGCACGGAGACTATCCAAGCCTGGGGTTGGGTATGGCTGACTGACGAAATGGTCATCCTATTCGCCCCTATCTCTGTCAGTATTCCTTTTTTTCTGTCATTACTGGCCCCTAATCAGGTGTCTTTGAGGATGGGAGAGGCATGTCCCGTGAATACAATTTCACAGGAGAGGACAGCGGTTCTTTGGCTCAGTGGCAGAGTGCCGCACTCAATGACCAAAAATCCCCGGTTCGAAGCCCAGGTTCTCCTGGGATTGGGCATGGTTGGCTGATGACGACTGATAGGCCGAAAGTTGACATCCCAGTTTCCCCTGACTTTGCTGGTGCTTCTCTGAACTTGCATTCCATGTGCTTTAGTCCACATTGCGGTGGCCAGAGGGGCTTAGCTCGGAATTTTATGATTTACTCCAGGATACCTGGCCGCAGCGGTCTAGCAGGCCACCGAAGCCGGCTAAACGTCACCGCCACCTACGTGGCCTCAAGTGAAGGTCTGAGACCGAGGAAGTTTACCACAGAAAGTTTTTGTGGTTTCTTGCATAATTTGCAACATCCCCGCACGGAGCATGTGGTTCAGTACTTTTTCTAGCCACGGATATTCGCGGAAAGCAGTTAATCAATTCCAGAGGACGCAGAAAGCAAGCAAATGATGATCATGGGTTAGTCCCCTATCTTCTGTAGCCTCTAGAGAATGCTCTGACCAGTCTGAACCTTTTTTTCCCAGAAACCAGCTGTCCTCCTACAACTCCTGTCTAATCACCTCACCAAAGTATGACAATGTTGAAACATTACTTGGCTTGAAACCTTGACCATCCAAATAAACAATCAAAGGGTTTCGTCCGTACGATGAATTTTGTCGTGAGTTAACTGAACGGCTTGGTGTATACCCGGTAATTCCCAAGCAAGTTCTTCTTCAACGCTCTGTAGAACCACAAGTACGCGACAGTCGAATTTGAATAGTATAACTAAACAGCAGGAGATTTCCATAGCCCCCGTCTTGCAAGAACCTATTTTCAGTCGTTTACTGGACTTAGCAGCCTATCACGAACTCACATTGTCGACTGTGATTGGGTATATTCACGGAATTTTGATTGGCGTTTACCAATCAAATTTGACAGCGGGGTTTAATACGGACATTCTGCGGGCTCTCTCTCCTCTTCTGTCCTCCCAGGCTTGGCTCTCTGAATCCCTGGCCCAGTCGTGCCGTGAGGCAACCCTGACATAGAAAAAAGTGAGCGGGACTGCACACAATCTGTTTTTTACCTCTTTCCCTCTAGCCAAGTCTCTACAAATTACCCGGCGGTGAAGTTCACTGTATTCCACTGCTCATTTCCCACTTGTACCCTAACTGACCCATCTTTTGATGGCTAACTTAATCGTGATCGGCACCGGAAGCTCTCGTCCAATCATGCGGCGGGACCAAATGACCAGTAGAGGAGTCATTCTGAAGAAGTTTTATTGATCAGATGCACTGTTTAAAGGCATGGACCTTGGACTTCGAAGTCCGGTCCACCAAGTTGACTCACAGTGGCAATAAACTATTATTTTCGGAATTTCTTTTCCGCCCTACCCTATTTTTTGCATTACAGTCTTACCCCGCCTGCGTTGTAGCGTCCTGCGTGTCGCTGCTTGACTCTCGTGTTCTCATATCCATTATGTCGGTTAGAGTATTATCGCACACACTGCGGAAAGACCTTCAGACGGACTGCCTTCCTCCGATTGGTTGTTCGCCTTCACTTGCGATTCTTTCTAATCTGGGGCTAGGATGCATTTATTTCGCAGACCGTACTGAGTATCCCCGTTCATTTCTACAGCTTCCTAACATTTTCCACCTTATTTAAGTTAGGCTACCACTGACTCGTCTACTGGTGGCTTACTTGATGATGGTTGGCGCCCAAAGCTCCCGTCCACTCATTTGGCGGGACCAAATGACCAGTAGAGGAGTCATTTTGAGGAAGTTTTATTGATCAGATGGACTTTTTAAAGGCATGAAACGAAAGTTGAAGAAGTATTAAGAGGAAACCTAGTGGGGGGTGAGATAAACCAGATTTGCGCAGCTGCAAACGAAGAATGAAAGGCGCATGAACGAAAGGTAACAGGTATGTGTTGAGTTGACAAAGGACGGCTGTAGTCTGCCATGGCTGGTCTGCTTAGAAGCACTTGCGGTGGACAATGCCAGGGCCAGATTCATCGTACTCCTGCTTGGAGATCCACATCTGCTGGAAGGTGGACAGAGAGGCCAGAATGGAACCACCGATCCAGACAGAGTACTTGCGCTCCGGAGGAGCCACAATCTTGATCTTCATGGTGCTGGGGGCCAGCGAGGTGATCTCCTTCTGCATACGATCAGCAATGCCGGGGTACATCGTGGTGCCACCGGAAAGCACAGTGTTGGCATAGAGGTCCTTACGGATGTCTACATCGCACTTCATGATGGCGTTGAAGGTGGACTCGTGGATACCGGCAGATTCCATACCCAGGAAGCTGGGCTGGAAGAGAGACTCGGGGCAACGGAAGCGCTCGTTGCCGATGGTGATAACCTGACCATCGGGCAGTTCGTAGCTCTTCTCGAGGGAGGAGCTAGAGGCGGCAGTGGCCATCTCCTGCTCGAAGTCGAGGGCCACGTAGCAGAGCTTCTCCTTGATGTCACGCACGATTTCTCGCTCAGCCGTGGTGGTGAAGCTGTAGCCACGCTCAGTCAGAATCTTCATGAGGTAGTCGGTGAGATCACGACCGGCCAGATCTAGACGGAGGATGGCGTGGGGCAGAGCATAGCCCTCGTAGATGGGCACGCTGTGAGTGACACCGTCACCCGAGTCCAGCACGATACCGGTGGTACGACCGGAGGCGTAGAGCGACAGCACAGCCTGGATGCCGACGTACATGGCGGGCGTGTTGAAGGTCTCGAACATGATCTGGGTCATCTTCTCACGGTTAGCCTTGGGGTTGAGTGGAGCCTCAGTGAGGAGGACGGGGTGTTCCTCAGGGGCAACACGGAGCTCGTTGTAGAAGGTGTGATGCCAGATCTTCTCCATGTCGTCCCAGTTGGTGACGATGCCGTGCTCGATGGGGTACTTGAGGGTCAGAATACCACGTTTGGACTGAGCCTCATCACCGACGTAGCTGTCCTTCTGGCCCATGCCCACCATGACGCCCTATAAACAGAAAAGTAAGAAGTGGTTAACTTGGACGCACGTCTGCTGTTTACCAGCCCTGGACCTCAATAATCAGGACCTTAATATGTCTGTTTACCCATGCCGAAAACACTTCTGAATGTAAGTGGCGGAAATTTGACCTTGAACCGTGCCACATGTGTAACTGATAACAAAAAGAGGCGCAGGTCCCATTTCCAAGCGCCTCGCTTTTGCGGACTGATGCAGAGAACGCAGAATTGTGCCTCAAATGGAGAGAAGACTTGAAAGTGGGTCACAAACATGTTTTAATACTTCTAACCAGACGGCTGACTGAAGGAAACTTTAGGGAACGACTCAGCTGGACGTAGTCAGCAGTGACAATAATCTCAAACGTCGGATGTAGTACCTGATACTTTTCAAGAGTTAAAGAGATTTCAATAAGTTTCGATGACTTATCGGGCGAATCTAGCCACCGACTTCCTTAATCACATCTGGACGTATTTTTTGCCCAATCGTGGAAGGTCTTGGACTGTGCGGAGTCTCCTAACAACATTCGGTTGTTGTTGTTGTTGTTGTTGTTGTTGTTGTGGAATACTACCACAGATGATGCTTAGGAGTTGAAAAAACAGGGTCCGTGGACAGCTACATCCGGGAACTCCGTTGCTTTTCAACCGCCAAGTACAACTTGGAGAAGTTGGTCACTAAAGGGCAAACGACTTGGCTCGATGTAGTTCGAACAACGTTTCTATTTTTCCATCGCAAGCAGTCGACTTAGATCCGAATTATTTGGTCTAAATCCTATACCTGTGTCATCGAAGGTCATTGGTAAGGTAAGTTTTGCTCTGCTTTAGTCTGAAACGTAGTAGATTAGTTCTCCCTGCTTGCGTTAAACGGATAGTAGACAAAGGGTGTTTGTATGGAGGTAGTAATGTTTGCACACATTAGGGCCTCACCTGATGACGCGGGCGACCAACGATGGAGGGAAAGACGGCGCGGGGAGCATCGTCTCCGGCGAAGCCGGCCTTGCACATGCCGGAGCCATTGTCAACAACAAGAGCCTGGACTTCTTCGTCGGCCATTACTGCGCTGATGGAGAGAGTGTCGTGCTAGCAGCTGTGTTCGGTCCCGAATAGGACACGAGGCTGGTTTTTATATGGGGCCGGTGTTTGTGTTGCGCAGTTGAAAATGGTCATATATGGCCAGTTTCCCCCTCCATCTCGCACCCGCCCTCCCAATGGCTGATCTCCCTACAACGATCGACCGGCTATTGGCTGGCAGGGGGGGCGGCGGGTACAAGTCCTGCCGGCATACGCCACGTGTGCGTGTGGAAAATCCCGGTTTTGGACACGCCGTAATAGCAGGTTCTCCATACGCGACTGTGACTCGTTGTCGCGCGCCCGCGGACATCGTCACCAAGCCAACCGATTGAAGGTCGATGCGGTGACCAATCGGGTGGCAGCAACAATTGGTCCTCGCTCCATGCCCTACCGTCGCCCGGCTGGCTGGCTGGCCAGCCAACCACAGCACGCGTACCCGGGACAACTGCGGGTAAAGTACACCCGACGGGTGGACAGTGATGTCCACGCATGCTAGGTGGGGGAAGGTCCGTAGGACCAAATTTCCATGTTCGGTCGATCAGCCGGTCTCGAGCTCTGGCATAAGCTCTTTATTTACCATCGGTCTACTTAAAAGACAAGAGTACCAGACTAAATGCCTGAATTTCTTTTTAAAGAACTCCAATCGTAAAATGTCCTGCGTAGCCCTTTCCAGATGAATAATCAGGCTCTGGACTTTATTATGCTATTCATATCGACCAGAATTCCATGAAGAAAGAAGGATACTAAGGCTCCAAAAGCAATCACCACTGAATATATGGCGGTGCTTGTGCATATTCATTCACCCCGATCGAGGTAGCCAGGGGAACTTGCCATTAAAGAAATCTGCACATCACACTAAGAAAAAGCTACTTACTCTGATACGCCTAGCAGACCAGAGAATACATGTATTTTTTCCCAGATGAAGTGCGACGCAGAATTCCAAACTACTTTCATAATTCCTCAAAATACTTTGTACGCAGCAGGATGGAAAAGCTATCGAAAGTGTAACTTTTACTACAGTCAAAGTGTTCTTCAACGCACGTTACGCTAGTACGAGATCCTCAACATCTGGATTTCGCTGGTATCAGGAAGTAGTGTTTTTTAATGTGTGACGTGAGATGCACTTCGCTAATAAATCGTATTGGTGATGATTAAACAAGACCTGATGTCAGCTGTCCGATATCCTACCCGTTATCTCAATGAAAAGTTAGCTCACGATGGCTGGCATTGTTTGATCGTGTCGCCTAACTCCTACCTCACGCAGTATTGCGTTTCCGTCCCTCGGATGTTTTGCATAAAATATCCGGTTGCTAGGAATAAGCCTTTTGACAAGTGAAATTCTTAAGGGAGGAGCGTTTTAAGTCCTGGGAAGGAGAGGGTGATAGTGTGGCTACGTTCAAATCAGCTCTGCTATGTATCATGGGTCGGTGGTTAGAACGGGAGGGAAGCCACTGGCGATAGGCGTTCGTGATGCGATGCTCTTGATGCGAAAACTTGAGGGGTATGTTGAAGTGCAATGATCGACAATTAGAAGTTTCTAAACCCGATATCCCGTGGCAGCAAAAGCATTTCAACAAAATTGAGACGCAGTAGTAGATGCTGTGTTTGCAAGCACATGGCGTGAGAGTACGCCTGAGTCGTGTCCCCTGTGGCCAATCAGCGAAGAGTGGAATATCGATCGGCGCCACGGCGACATTAAGTCTAATCAAGTAATCAAGTAGCAAGGCGCTTCGGTCGTGGTCATCGCGCCGAGTCAACCGCCACCTCCTTGACGAGTCTGAAGAGCAATACACTAAATAGGGCGCAATTACTCCGGTAGTATGTCCTGAGCATTAACAGACTGACCAGTGAACACCTTTATTAACCTTAGACGGTGCAAGGGGGATGTGTGTGATCAAAGCAAAACTAGCACGCTGATTGCCCTTTCTACCTAAATTTTCGTCTTATTTTCTTCCCTCAAAGTGTATTTATTTCTTCTTTAGTTATCCGCGAACTGAATAATAAGCACAAATGTCCATGGAAAGCTCCACAGACAGAGTGAGTTTACGTCTTTACTTGTCCTTCATAAGTAGCTATGAAGTAGGCCTGGTTTTAACCCCCCTTCTCTCCCCCAGCAATCGTCCCTGCAGTAGGATATCCTGGTCCAAAGGAGTTCATGAGTAACCCTTCCAAAAGCACTGGGCAGCCAAGAAAAATTCAACGAGGACATCTTACATGTCCCTTCGTTATGTTCTAGCCTTAACGCTTAGCTGGTTGCGAGGGTTAAAACTCTCCGAAATCGAATACCCAAAGGAGAACCTAACCGCAAGGAGTGAAGAACACGTGTCCATTGCTGGGCTCCTAACAGCAAAATCTGATGATAAAAGATAGATAATGTCCGGGGACGGCCTGTAATTGAGCCAATCAGATCACGTCCTTGATCTGTTAGCATGTGGACTCATCTGAGTGGCTGGGCCACCCTCCAATCCTGTCGGTGGGTGGCGCGATCTCAACACGCTCACGCCGTGCGGACGGATCGATAGGACAGCATGTGCGCGCGTCGTTAGAGCGGCATGGGTATGAGTCGGTTAGGGTGGCCTTTCCCAACACCCTCTCCTGGGGGACATGAGAATAGGAACGACCTCCTTCCCTCCTCAATGCAGATGGTCTTGCGTTAGATTACAGGAAGGGCACCTATTCCCGTGCCCTACAGCTAACACTAACCCTGAGCCGTACCTTTAGTGTAACCTTGATCTTAATCCTAAATTTAGCACTGAACCTAAACCAAGGCGGGATGTATATAAGCAATCCTTGTTGGAGATTCCCCACATTTTTAAATTCCGAAATGACCTCCAACTTTAAATCCAGTAGGGATTTCGTTGATTTTTTTCGGAAGCACAAGGGATTTCGGTGACAACTTGTAGTGACCCCGCCTCCTAGAAGCGGTGGCCGCTCGTCATCACCGTACCGGGCACCTTATTTGCTTCGGGGTTCAGTCAAGTTCATCACCACGGCTTCCGCCGCATATGCGACATGACGGTTCAAACGGCGAAGGTGACAACTTCCACCGCGCTCTCCACTGAATAGGCACAGCATCGGTGACTTATGCGTGGATCAGCCTATGATGAGGCGAACTTGAGCAGCCTCTACCGCGCTCTCCCCCACACCCACCTTGACCCGACAGCTAGAAAATATCACGACGATCGGAGATGGACTCGGCCGCGGTGAATGGTAAGACAAAACGTCTTGTCAACGCGTGCCACACACGAATCCGCTCCCAGTTCGCGTGTCAGGATACCATAAGGGCTGTTTGGATCTCGCATGGGTGAGAATACCATAAAGGTGACGTCTGGGGGAGCCACCGAAGCCTGGCTCCCAATTCAGTAGTCGGCAGCTCCATGCACGCACACATCCGGACTGACTGCCAGATCTGGGTTGAAGCATCAGTAGACAACCTTCCAACCCACGTAGGTTAGTTTATACCGAGGAAAACGCGCTGAAAGTCAACCTCACTCACTCTTCCCCTCCCCGTGAACCAACTGACCAAGTTACCCCATCAGTTGGCAACCTCCCAGAGCACAACTCTTAACACGTCGTGATGGATTCAAGTGTGTCGGAGCCCTATACTGAGAAATGCTCCGACCTGCCGTTGGCATGGATTTCCCAGTGTCGCTCTCACGATCACTCTCTTCTCTCTCTTTCTTTCTTTCTTTCTTTCTCTCTCTCTCTCTCTCTCTCTCTCTCTCTCTCTCTCTCTGGCATGCACCAGCCGACTGTCCGAGCCTGACAACCAGCAGTGACTAACAGAGCTAAACTGCCCGCCTCGTCGGCAAACCGGAAAGGAGGGTGGGTCTGGTCCCAAATGAGTGGAAGTGCCATAAAGGTCACATTAAGCAGAAGGCATTGTAGTCAGGCTGTCCGTCCTGATAGGACGACCGAATAATGCCGTTAGTTGGCAGCCCTCCAAAGCACGCCTTCAGCGTTAGATTGTTTGTGGGGATGAATATGCGCTGAGAGAGTCGACCTCACTCTCTTCCCCTCTTCTCATCCCTCAAGGCACTAGTTCATTTTTCGAGCCGTCTGGTTGGGGAATTGGACTCAGCTGGCTAACACGGCGCGGGTTTGCACCTAGGCGTGCCGTCACAATCCATGTCTTGCATTTACTACGGTTGCGCGGCCCGAAAACGTCTGTTGTGCCCTAATCTGGCCCTCATGACGGTCAAACAAACCTCCCGCGTAGCCCGTCATAATTTGCAAGCAACGCAGACGCACTATCCCTCAGGTGACTGGGGTACTGCCGGGTGTTCATGGGGCTTAAAGCCCACCCATCACTTGGGCCGCTACATACTGAGGGCCCGCATACTTCAAGCTGTTTTGCGAAAACCATGACAGCGATCACATAAATCTGATGATGGAAACGAGAAGGTTTCCGAAACGTCAGTACAAATATAGTTTGGTTCATGAACTCGCCCTCTCTTCTTTGTCTTCTTCGGGAGATGATGAACGCGATTTATATATACATATATAATTCTATTGATTTGCCGGCCGCCAATCGTTGTTCTGAATATAAGCACATACTTTTCTAGTGGTAGTGTAGGCTTTAGTTTTGCCAATCCTTCTCACAGGAGGACATTTTGCATCTGTTTCCTGTCTGCAAGCAAAAAAGTTGTTCAATCAATCAAGGGCAACTTAGATGCTCTCAGAAGCCTTCTTCTTTCACCCAATAAGCGTTTCGTTTTGTGTTCATTTGCTCATTTAACCTACCAATTTGACTCATACTGCCTACGAGCTTTTCCTACCAAACAGGGGCCTAAAAGCGACCGGCCAACGAGGGCTTCCATCGAACGTGCAATCATGAAATTTGGTAAGTAAGACAGTGACGAACATATTTTTGCCCAAAGGAAAGCTCCTATTTACCGTTTGCATCCTGAAGCTGGTCGAACCGCTGGGCTGTTGATAATTTATGATTTGCCCAGCGTTTGAAAATCCCACTTATCTACAAC